TACAGAAACCTTCTTAGTCTATCACTTAAAATTTTGGTATGAGAAATGGCCTCTTGATCTCTTCTCTATTTCTTTCTGATATCATAGTGCTCACTGATTCTGGTTTGTCCTGTAAGGTGGTCCAAATTTTTTTTCCCTTCTTTCTTAACATACTCAGCTGATCTCATCTGGGATACGTGAAGAGCCTCTTTCCCTGCTGTAAAGGTTAGGCACAAGATCTCAAGCTGGAAAGACTGCTCCTACTTGTATTTATGAAGGATTTGATCTTATAACTTTGAAGCACAGTTGTTGATTTTTATTTTTTTTAATAAAACAAATTTTCGTAAAAGATGAAAAGAAGGAGCAAAATTTTGCAACAATGGAGAGAATAGTCCTTGAATGACACACAAATACTGATGTTGAGATGAATCCATATAGCAAAAGTGGTCCAAATTTTTTCCCTTCTTTCTTAACATACTCAGCTGATCTCATCTGGGATACGTGAAGAGCCTCTTTCCCTGCTGTAAAGGTTAGGCACAAGATCTCAAGCTGGAAAGACTGCTCCTACTTGTATTTATGAAGGATTTGATCTTATAACTTTGAAGCACAGTTGTTGATTTTTATTTTTTTTAATAAAACAAATTTTCGTAAAAGATGAAAAGAAGGAGCAAAATTTTGCAACAATGGAGAGAATAGTCCTTGAATGACACACAAATACTGATGTTGAGATGAATCCATATAGCAAAATATGCTCTGTATCTTATATTCAGATATATCTGAAGTAGGAATTGCAAAGTAATCCAGCTTTTCATAAAATTCTGAATAGAAATGTGACACTAAGTAATATAGAGATAAACAAACCTCTCCATAACCGCTTCTTTTATTTAACAGTGAATATTTGTAATATTATGAATGTGCCTTATGCTTTGTTTCTCCTAATATTACCTGTATTATAAATCAGACCTCTGTCTGTCCATCTACCAGCAGTTTTGTGGGTCTTCATGTTCGGCTGGTGACAGAAAATACCCAGTGACTTCTCTGGTTTAAATTAGTGCCCCTTTCTGAAAGATTTGACGATACTGTTCTTTTACGAGAAGATACAGGAGATGACAGGACTGCATTTTTCACAGATCTATAAATATTACAGCCAGGAAGGGCCATTTTAATAACCTGCTCTGACATCTTATGTATTACGGGCCATAGATTTCATCTGACTACTCCTTCATTTTAGACCAATAATTTCTGACTGAACTAGAACATACTTTTCTCTCTTCTCGAAATGCATCAGTTTTGATTTAAAGTCTCTGCAGTGGTAAATATAAATGTTGCCACTGTGAATTCTAACTCAATTATATTTGCCATTATTTTATAAAGTGGTAATATTCCAGGGGAATATAGATTTCCCTTTGTTTCAGGTTTTGGATGCCCTATGTTGACTTCAGCCTTTAGCCCTTGCATTTCTGGTATATGTCTGTCTGCTAGATGAAACAACCTATAGTGCCACATATCTTTCACATAAGCTATTAACAACTTGTTAAATGTCTTTAACTCTGCTGTGGAGCATCCTGACTTCTTTCTATAATTTGGTAGATCTGTTTTACAGTATACAGAGAAGGGAAATGTTCTCTTGGCACGCACCTCTAATTCTATATAGGTTTTGATTATAATCCTGCCAACTAAAAAAATGTTGTTGTGTTTATGAAAGCTGGCGTGCTATTTAAAATGACAATATACAACATCAGCTGCTCCCCTGTGCATTCCGTTTAGAAAGCTGGAGTCTAGATGTGATAAACCTGCAGTGCTTAAGCAGGCCACGCAAATTGTTCTGGCTGTCCCCTCATCCCTGAAGCTTTCTCAGCAAGGAGCAGGGAGTGGGGTGCAGCATGTACGCATCGTTCTGGCATCGTTCACTTCTGTGACTAAAGAGTGCGTAGTCATGTTGGCTCATCTGGATTTTGATTATTTGACAGGATCACTGTTAGTCACAGAGCAAAACGATGTCCACAAATATCTGGCATTATATGATAGAGAATATTGCCCTTGATTTGGTAAGAGGTTACATGAAAGTAGTACTGCTTATCTATGTGTTATTTATGGGATTTGGCATTTGATAATGTTTGGAATGAAAAATGATACAGAAAAATTCTTGGTATGACTCAAGAAACTTAAAGTAATACCCCTCTGTCTTGCTATGTATTTATTTTAAATAGAAAAGCCCCTTTATCTTACCATTTTCGACAACCATTATTACAAAGCAGTGTCATGCTCTTACTTATGCTTTACTTTTTTCAGCAAAGTGCAATAGCTGCTTCAAAGGCTATCTACTCTTCCGAAAGAAACTGTTTATCAAAAAATTATCAGCCTAGGTGAAAAGGGAAATTGTTTGCACTTTACTAGTGCTGAAGGGCTGATCTAACAAAAACAACTCTTGTAAGTCACCTCCATTGCATTACACAGCTACTAAGAAGGCAGTGGTCTGCAAGTTAATACTTACGATATTTCACATTTCTTGCAGCAAAATAAATGTTCTGTGGCTTGCTATATAAGACTTTACATCTGTATACAAACCATATGACAGCACTAAAATTATTTTGATTGAAATTTTGTGCATCACTGCCTTTTTTCCAAAAAAATTAACACCTTCAATCTAGCACACACTCAAACATGGGATCTGCTCCTCTAATCAGCTTTACTAAGGTTCTGGTAGGGGCCAACCATTCAATATTAGCTTGATTTCAAAATCAGTGATCTGTGACTTAGACTGCTAAGTTATAAGTTGATATTATGTTCAGAATTGTCTAAACAATGTAATTAATATGTAAAGAAGCCAGAAATAACCCTGAAAAACCTATTTCTCATGTATATAAACATGAAAGTATACCTTTAGGTAAAGTTGTGATTTCTCAACAAAAAGAAATATTGTAAACTTAAACTGCGTGTGTCTTTTGCTTTCTTCAAGCAAAAGTTTTCTGTGGCCAGGCACTGATTCACACGAGAGCACCTGGCAGGAGCGTGGTTAGTCTTTCCCCATGGCCATCGCTGTGACTTCTCCAGTGTGCAGCAAGGGAGGAGCGGGAGTTACCAACCGTGCCTCTCATCATTCATTGCTTTGCTTATGAGCTACACCAGCATTTGTACAGCACTTAGCAGGAACCATTGCTTTTGGGGAGTGGTGTACTGCAGCATTCAGACCAGCTCAATGTATTGGGTTTTATTAGGGAAATTTTCTCTCAGCTGACTGAAGTATATGAAAATTAAGCTGTGACTTAGTCAGCTTGTTCAGCATTTGCTCTGGACTTAAATCTAGTCTATCGATTTATTAAAAAACCTGAAACCAGAAACCCCCAACTGCTTCTTTTTTCTTATTCAGTGATACTTATTCTTAATGATTATCTTTCCACATTATAGTGAAATAAATGAGCATTTCTGAGTATGTATTTATATTCGTTATCATTGTTGTAACACTTTAAAGAGTAGGATGGTCAGTTTTCCTGGTGGAGTAAGGCCACCAGAGATGCATGTTACGGCCTGAACTATAGAACATAATCATAAAGGATGCAGAAAATGGCGTAAATTAGTGAAGTTACAGTGTGCTGAAGATACTCTTTCAGAAAGCTTTTATGTTAATAGATTATTGAATTTCATCTGCTATTTTATCACTCTATAAATTAATGTGAAGTAATATATATGAACGAAGGAAAAAGGTTCTATTTCTACATTAAATGAATTTCTATATGTAATGAATCTTGAACTATCTATTATCACTCAGAAAAAAGTTATAGCAGCTAGTTGCGTTTAAAATGTCAGCATAGTAGTTGTTGAAAGAGCAAATAAAATGTTAAGATGGGAATAGAAAACAAAGTGGAAATCATTATTTTGCTACTGTACAGATTCATAGTTCACTTGCATCTTGAATACGACATGCTGATCTCTGTGTTGCATCTCAGAAAGGGTATAGGAGAATAGAAAAGATATATTAAAGGCAGTGAGCAAGGATTTCTCAGGTTGGAAAAGGGACAGCGGAGAGAAGGGAGGGAAACAACACGGATCGTTACATTTTGGGTGGGATAAAGCATGTGAATAGGGTACTGTTGTTCATCATCTCATCCAATACTAGACCTAAGGATTTCGGATGAAATTGCCAAGAGGTAGGCTCAGGACAAAAACAGTTGAAATGTTTCTTCATATATGTGTGGAAGTCATTCCTGCAGGACGTTCTAGATCCTGCAAGTTTACGTCAGTTTACATGGGCAAACTCCTAGGAGAAAAGGTAACCCAAAACCAATACAGAGGCACAACCTCTGGCTGAGAATGTCCCTGAGCTGCAGGTCATTGAAGGTGGTGTAACGCTGTGGGGAGTATCTGTAGGGATTTAAATTCTTTCCTGGCTATCCACTGTAGGCCACTGTCAGAGGCAGGTTACTGGGCTACGTTGGCATTTTTGTCTGACCTTTTATAGCTGATTATATGCATTTTATTTAGTTTCTGCGTAGTCCAGTGTTGTTCTGCTTTCCCATGTCTCATTGCTGACCAGGAATAAGAGAGGGACAGGCTGGCAGATATGCTTACTTAAATTTATAATTTATGTCTTAATTTCTCTTGATTTAGAACAGTTTTCCCACTGCTGCTATGGTCTAATTTCAGAAGTAAGATGTAAGGCAATGGCAAAACAAACAAGCAAACCAAGCGAAAATACTCTTAAACAAAAAACCCTTTACATTGGCTTGGATCCATTTTGTGTGAAGGATAACAAATTATTTGTAGTATTTGCTTGCTACTGAACTAGAAAAATTAGAAGTCTTGTGATTGCCTAGGGGAAGAAAGCAAATCAATGATATAGAATAATCAGAATTCTAGTTTTTATGAGCAAAAATAGCGTGACAAGAAATATGAAGAGAGACTTAATTCTTTTCCCCACCCCCAATTTTCTTTGCGTCCAGAAAGAGTCTATTGGCATGTCGATGATGTGTGTTCTGTTGTGTTGTCTCTGGTTTATTACAGCACTGTTTTTTCTCTTGTAGGTTAACAGAACCTTCTGGATATTTAACAGATGGACCAATAAATTATAAATATAAAACTAAATGTACATGGTTAATTGAAGGATAGTAAGTATTTATTTTCAATGCTTAATTTTTCTGTCAGTTTGGTACTTTGTATTCTAGACATCTAAAGAACTCCTCAAGTAGAAACTGCATCTGGATACAATGTAAACAGCTTTGGTTTTTTGTTTATTTTGTTTTTGTTTAAATATTATAAAGATTAAAAAAATAAAACAGTTGAAGTAGGATTTTCAGGATTGCTCAGAGTTGGCCTGAGCAATTCCATTCCTATTCAAATTGCTGGCAAATGTTAGGCTGACATTGGAATTTGGCCAGTGCTGCAAGCTCTCAAAACCCTATGATAAATTTGTTGCCTGTTTGAGTACCTTTCCATAAGTTCCAAATGTGGTTACAGAATCCTATTATTTAACTCATTATCTTACTTATTTATCTTACTTAACTTGTATCAGTGATAAATCAGGAATGGCTTCAAGTACAGAATGCTTCCAATCTATTAATAATTATTCAGTTACATGTTGCTCAAAAGTTAGTGCTTCTATAAAGTATTTTCTTTTGCATTCTAGTATTCCTCATGTACCTAATTTTAAAATCATATTGTGCCCACAGTTTATACAGTTTAGATGTCTCATGTCTGTTGCTAATTTTTCAGTTTATGCAACACAGAAACACACAGACATGCACAAAGAAATAATGAGACATATGCACTAGTATGTCTAACTGTTAAAGGCACAAATTTGTTAAATTTCAGCATGAGTTTTTTCCCCCAGGCTATGGGTCAGGATTTTGCTAGGTCCGAGTTCTACTAACATTCTAGAAGAAAATTACCCCCTTCTGTATTTCCATATTGTCACAATCTCAGTTACCTTAGTTAGATGTCTGCTCTGTCGCTGCAGTTCAGTAATGATCTATCTGATCTGATTTTGGTCTGCTTATATGCAGATAGTAATTTAAACACAACAGCAATGAAGCTATGGGTAGTTTGCAAAATCATTTAAGTAGAAGCTTCAATATCTAGGTGACTAGGCTATAGCTGAATATCTGTCTGACATACCTAGACTTCTCTTTTCACCCAAGCTAGCTCAGGAATATTTGCACTGCACTACTCTATGCTAAAGTGGAAACATGCCTCAGGACTGTATGCAAACCCTGCTTTGAAGTTGGTCTTCACTCTGTTCCTCCTCTTTGCAGGAGATGGTAGAGTGGGTAGCTGAAGGAAATGATATGGTGCACAGTATGTGGAAGAGTAATGCAACCCAGTAACATAGCGCAAAATGTCAACACACAAGGAAGTCACATATCTATAAAATACTCTCTCTTAAAAAATGAACAAAGAGCTCTCTCCAAATGACCTCTCACAGAAAAAAAAATAAAGCATATGTTTTCCAAACTTACAAATTGCACTTGAGCCTGTC